TTAGTTGCCGACTGGGGTTAAACCACGACACTACTATATATGCACATGACGAAAAAAGCTTCCACTCCTACTGAAGATCGTGTGTAATATACTCTTCTCTTAACACTAACCTGTGAGCAACAGAACATGTGAATAATATGAGGGTAGATAAATCAAGCAGCTTGTAGGTCATGACAGAAGTCATAGGAAGTCTCTGAATATCAAAATATTTACAAAGGAATTTGCTCTTATATTACTCATTGCTATGCCAAATTGGAAATTTAGGGGAGGGAATTACCAACGCACAGATATAAAATGTAACCTACATTATGAAAACATTCTCACAACTGCAGGAAAAACACAAGTGAAGCCAAAGGCAGAATGAAGGGAAAGGAAGAAGGCAGGCAAGCCTACTGCTTTAAATGAAATCAACGGGAGCTCTGCCATCAGCTTAAAAACACAAGAACTGGCCAGAAGATCATGAGGCAATTCAGGAGACATTCTCAGGACATCTGAACAAAAAGCCCTTAAAATTGCTCCGTACGAAAGCCACAAAATAAAGGAAACTGCCAGTTCCAGCTTAATAAGACTATTTTATGCAGTGCTTGGTGAAGATAATATGTAATGGAAAATGTGAAAAAGGACAATAGTGCCTGTAAGATGGTTGTACTAAAGAACTATCCATTTAAATAACTTAAGATCCAGTTGCTGATAGAAAAGCTTTATGGTGCACATCCTAAAAGTAAAGTGGGTAAGACTGTGATAATACTGATATTTATCATTAGACACCTAGTTAGCCTTATAGTCTCTTTATGATGAAAACAAACTCAATCAAACTGGCATATAGAAATACCTTCGTTACATTCTCAAAATACAGACTTTTCTGTGAAAGCATACAGAAAAACAGATAAACTGTATCCCTACATCTTTAGGTCAAGATGAATTCAGTAGTAAATTTTGAAACAACACATCTGTCATTTCAGATAAGATATCTAATCCGTGCCTGTGTCTGTGAAATTGTGTAATTCTCCTGGACATCTAGAGCAATGTGAAGCACAGATCTTTAAGACACATTGAGAAGTCAGTAAAGCTTGATAGTAGACAATAAAAATTTTCCTGTAGTAAATTGTGAAGTGCTGCATGAGAGGAAGTAAAATCACTACATCAAGTCATTACAGAAAGCAGACCTTGCATACCATCTAGAATTCACTGAATACAGACTCAGCTTGAAGAAAAGAATCCTATCACATTAGTATAACCTACTGTAGACTACATATGTGCAGTAGAGAATAATATTATTTCTCCTTGTACATAAAGGCCAATCTACTGAACTCCCAGTGAACAAATTAAAGATTCTCCCTTTAATCTTCTTCTCCTTTGTGCAAAAGTAAAGGGTTTACCAAAGGCTATTTTGAAAGCACTTTCTGCTATTTAGAAACTATTCTAAAAATTTCACATTAATGAAACGCGTAACCCCATCATAGAAAGCCATGAAATTTGTCAGGCACGATTTGCCCTTAGTGAAGCCATGTTGGCTGTCACCAGTCACCTCCTTATTTCCCATGTGCCTTAGCATAGTTGCCAGGAGCATCTGCTCCATGAACTTGATGGGCACAGAGGTGAGACTGAGTTGCTGTAGTTCCCTGGGTCTTCCTTTTTTCCCTTTTTAAAGATGGGAGCTATGTTTCCCCTTTTCCAGTTGGTGGGATCTTCACCGTACTGCCACCACTTCTCAGATATCATGGATAGCGGCTTAGCAATTTCATCCGCCAGTTCCTTCAGGACCCGCGGATGCACCTCATCAGGTCCCATGGACTTGTCCACTTTCAGGTTTCTTAGATGGTCTCAAACCTGATCTTCTCCTACAGTGGGCGGTTCTTCATTCTCACAGTCCCTGCCTTTGCCTTCTGCGAGGTGGACAGTGCCGCTAGAGCACTTTTCAGTGAAGACTGAGGCAAAAAAGTCATTGAGTAACTCAGCCTTCTCCATATCCCGAGTAGCCAGGTCTCCCATTTTCTTCCAGAGAGGGTCCACATTTTCCCTAGTCTTCCTTTTATCACTGACAAACCTATATAAGTTTTTCTTGTTGCCCTTGATGTCCCCGGCCAGATTTAATTATATCAGGGCTTTAATTTTCCTAACCTGATCCCTGGTTGCTTGGATAATTTCTCTGTATTCCTCCCAAGCTACCTGTCCTTGCTCCCATCCTCTGCAGGCTTCCCTTTTATGCCCGAGTTTGTCCAGGAGCTCCATGTTCATCCGTGCAGGCCTCCTGGTGTTTCTGCCCAATTTCTTCTTTGCTGGGATGCATCACTCCTGAGCTTGGAGGAGGTGATGCTTGAATATTAACCAGCTTTCTTGGGCCCCTCTTCCTTCCAGGGCTTTATCCCATGGTATTTTACCAAGCAAATCCCTGAAGAGCCCGAAGTCTGCTCTCCTGAAGTCCAGGGCAGTGAACTTGCTGTGTGCTATCGTCGTTGCCCTAAGGATCTTGAACTCCACCATTTCATGGTCACTGCAACCAAGGTTGCCCTTGAGCTTCACATTCCCCATCAGCCCCTCCTTGTTGGTGAGAACAAGGTACAGCAGAGCATGTCTTCTCATTGCTTGCTCTATTGCTTGGAGAAGGAAGTTATCATCAATGCATTTCAGGAACCTCCTGGATTGCTTGTGGCCTGCTGTGTTGTCCCAACAGATATGGGCGTGGCTGAAATTTCCCATGAGGACCAGGGGCTGGGAACATGAGGCTGCTCATCTGTCTAAAGAGCGCCTCATCCACTCAGTCTTCCTGGTCAGGTGGTCTGTAGCAGATCCCTACTATAATGTCATCTGTCCCTGCCCTCCCTTTAATCCTGACTCATAAGCTCTTGGTCAGCTCCTCATCTATCCCCAGGTGGAGCTCCATGCACTCCAGCTGATCATCGACATAGAGGGCAACACGTCCTTCTCGTCTCCCCTGCCTGCTCTTCCCGAAGAGCCTGTATCCTTCCATTCTGACACTCCAGCCATAGCAGTCATCCTACCATGCCCCTGTGATGCCAAAAGGATCATAGCCCTGCAGGCTCTGCAGCCACTGTGTCTGCATTGATATTATGACTTCCCTGCACATCTCTCAAATTTCTGAAGGAGTATCAGATGGTTCTCTGTGCTTCTGGGCAGTCATCTAGCTCCGTATCCTGATCAAAGCTGGGACAAATTCAAATCTGAACAATGAATGCAAACAAGAGACAAAAGATAGTTTAAAGAGGATGCCAAGTTCTGAAAATATGAGATTACCTGCAGGACTGGCAGAGTAGAACAGAACTATTAAAATAGCCTGAAGCAATTACAACATTAAATTCAAGTCTGTTAATTTCTAAGTAAGAAGTGAACGCTTAGTTCTGTTGAGAAGCTGAGAACATTTACCCTGCAGAACTTCACAACTTTTTCACCGCTGTGCAGCTAGTACAGGTCAGTTCTTAATACAGTGATATTTGAATATCTAGAAAAGAAAATACAGGCCTCAGATCATTGATCTTTGGAAGGAAAATATACGGGATCACAGAGGGAATTCACTCCATCTTGGGTAGAAGGGACTTGGCAGAGCATTAAACATACAACTCTTTGTTCTTAGAATAAAACCCAGTGAGAGAAATTAAAAAGCGTAGGTAAAACAGTCAAGGATGCCTATTTATAACCTGGATATTAACACAAGCAGAAGGCACAAAGACTAGTTCAGCTGAAATATAGTTACTTCTGGCACAGACTGTAGCAGCTTTTGAAGCAGCTCCTATATTCATGAGTTGAAGACAGCAAGTGAAGATCTGTTACACACACATGCATACACACTCTCAAAGGTCTGAGATAAAAAATATTAATACCTAGCAACATACACCTATCTGGAGGCTAAAAACAAACACTTATTTTTTGTTTCATCTACGTGTCTTTCATTTTCCTCCTCTTTACATTTAATTTATACTCCAAAGAGCACTTCCAGCTTAAGGATTGTAGAAAACAAGCTCAAAGCCAATAGCATTCAAGTTAGACCTCCATTTACTTCATTACTCTATCTCATTTTCCCTTCTGGTTATTAAAGCAGAGACTGAGCACTAATGACATGATGATTAGCATCTCTTCAAGATGAATTTTTGCATCTCTCAAAATCAACTCTCAACAACAAATGTTTACTATTCCTTAGTTTAACAATTACCCAGAATATCATACCATAAATGAGCATATTTCTTAAGAGTCCTTCACTTGATTTTTGACCTTTGTACTAATTGCTGGTTTGGAATTACTCACTTTTAACAAGAAATTGTCTGGATCTCTTTAGTAATTCACTAATTATTCACAGAACCACTTACCAAGTAATTAATGATATAAAATTTGTCGTATTCTTTGTTTTTGGCATTGATTCTGCGATGCTGCTTCTTTCTCATGTGATCTTTTAGTGTGTTTTTGTCTCTGAAGACTTTTTCACAGTATAAACACTGCAAACTAAGACAAAAAGGCAAACAGGTCAATATGTTAAAATGAAAATAGTACAAGATAATATCCTCAAATTAGCTGGAGATACATACGGTAAGATTAATCCTAAGAATGTGAGAGTAAGCTGAATGAAAAGGAAAGTTTATATAAAAAAACCCCACAAGTACAAGATAATCTTGGATCACAGTAGAGTCAATCAAACATAGAGATGACAAAAATGAGATAAAATGAAAATATAGATGATTACATAGTTTACTGTTTGCCCCATATGCAAAGTGGGACAAAAGTCTGATAACTCAAAATTGTCCTACCAAGAGATGGGAGGTCCATTGGATTGGTCAACATGTGAACTCTTAACTCAGCATGCACTGAGACTGGCATATGATCCACCAGGAACCATTTCTTTGTAATTTAGAGTGAAAAAATCCAAACTTTGAACGTGCTACCAATATTTTCAAACGATTTAAATTCGTTAAACAGAAAGTTTTATACTTCTTACTCAACAGTTTGCCAGTGTGATCAATGGGTTTTGAAATCCTGATAGATCAAATTTAGTAAATAAACTCATACACACACACACATAATAATTAATGTGCATGTATACACATGCATATATAGACATGAATTATTATATACATACACATTACTTGACAAGGTAAAAACATTCATTAAGAAATGAGAATATTACCACAGTATGTATCCCAGAGCAATTCAAACAAAACAGAAGTATACATGCTGTCTTAAATTCTCTATTATGAGCGCTATAAAATAATTGTTCTCTCCACTGTAGTATCGACCGACATCTGAAAGTTGAGCCTATAAAGCATTAAGTCAAGTCTCTTGATTCAGACAGTGGACTATGAGGACAGTAACCTGCCTTTCAGCCTAAATGGGTGAGTGTTCAAGGCCAGGTTAGACGAGGCTTTGGGCAACCTGGTGTAGTGGAGGGTTTCCCTGCCCATGGCAGGGGGGTTGGAACTAGATGATCTTTAAGGTCCCTTCCCACCCTAACCATTCTATGATTCTATGATTCTCCCTGAGATAGATGATGGTCATTTTTTTCTGGCAGAGACACAGCAGAGCCCTGAGCTTACAGGAACATCCTTGTTTAATGGACTTAGATCTTGAGCCTCTAGTCAGCCAAGGTGTCAAACATTTTTCTTGTAAGTGGAGGTTTACATATCCTACCAAGATGGAGAAGCTTCTTAGGCTGGTTGAAAAATTATCTCTGCAGGGCGATGGGGAAAACCCCTAGAAAGTAATTTCTCATGCAATAAAAACTTTGTAACAGTGGCCTTATATCTTTGTATTGGAGATGCTGGTTAGCAGGAAAAAAAATTGAATGGAGGGAGAAAAAAGACAGCACTTTAACACACTAAAACCACAGATATTAAAAAAATGTGGTGGCTCTGAATTAAAATGATCACTTTTTTTTTTTTTTTTCTTTACTCACAGATGAAAGTATTCTTGATTGTACAGTCAGAAAGAATTTTAACAGTGCCTGGGTCAGGCCTTTCTGTGATTTCCCCAAGGTTTAAGATATAGATACTGAAGTAGAAAATTATTTTCTTACTCAAGCATTTGCCCCCACAAAACCCATTAATATTGTGCCTAGAAGGTCTGTACCTATACCCTGAAAACCCCCATAGTTCTTCAGTAAACGTGCATCCAGATTCCCCTCAGCTCTTGCTTGAGCAGCAATTCAGTATTCTCAGTATCTTTTTGCCTTCCAAAGAACTGTTGTAACATTTAGGCTTACTGCTAAGGAAGTTTTGAGTTCTCCTTGTGCTTGCAGCCTCAAAGGCTAAGTATTGCCTTGTCAGTGAATCATAGGTCCAATGGTGGAATACATCTATAAATTTTAATATCTGCTTTATTCCACCTGCTAACAGTAAAGCGTTTGCTCTAGTTGTGAAAGGCATTCCCAGGAAGAACCTGTAATGCTTTTCCTCAGCATACACAATGTAGTCATGATATTTGCCTGAAATAATGTTTTTCTCCTCTTAATAAGAAGAAATTTAATATTAAGTTTCTTCTTACTAGCAGGAGGAATGGACTTTCACGACTTTGAAAGCAATTTCAGCATGTGTATTAACTACAGAAAGGATTGGCTTTGAGAAACCTCCATGTAAACAAAATCCTCAGGTCCTACTGATAAATAGTAAAGCTGCAATTTTACAGTGAGCAAGGTAGCTCAGTGCATTAGGCAACACCAATGATAAGACGAAAGGCATTCTTAATACATCTTCATTTCTGGAGGAAGTTAACCTACATCTATTGTGACTGCATATTCACTGTCAGGCCAAAGACTAAATTAGAGAGCGCTGATGGCTTTTCCGTCCTTTGAATTTCTTTTTATTTTCTTTTCAGAGGTACAAACCAATGGATTCTAAATTTACTTGGAAGGATATCTAATCGAATTTACATATCCTAGTTTTCACAAATCCCAGTCTTCTGTGGCTTTTCATAAGTAAGCCTAAGATTTAGGCAAATTTCTCCTAGTCTTTCATTATAGATTGTAAGAAAATCTAATAAACTTGTTAAAGCTACAGTTTCACTCTTACGGAAGTACATTTTCTGCTAAAGCCAAATTTGTATTTGTGGCATACTTCTTATTGCCCCATTTATGAAATTAATAAAGGGCACTTAGATACTTGCAAAGGAAACTCAAAATGAAGAGTTTCTTGCTCTTTGCTACCCAAGTTCTTCTCCCAGATTCCCTTTTTAACTTCTTCAGCCATCTTTGGTTTATATGTTTCTGAGGCAACACATACATTGTCTTTGCCCTTCTGCTCTGAGATGTAGTCTTGTAAGCAGTAAAGAAGGGAGAGACCAAAGTTCCCATGTTATTGATACATAGGAGAGGCAAAAGAAGATTGGCATAAGAAGCCTGTATTCAGTGATTAAAGAGATGTTTAGCAAAAAGAAAGATTGTTATGATGAGAATCAAGAACATTTAACAGTTGTGAGAAAGAGGGATGTGCTGTTACTGATGTCAAAGGAAACTCTGCAACGCGTAACAACTGAAGCACTGCGTGGCACTCTCATTGTTCCAGCAAACACATACTACGAATTGTTACACTACTATGAATTGTTATGAATTAGCTTTCAATAAGTCAACATAAAGCCTTCTAAGAGCACTCACAATAAACTTACATCCTCTCTTTGTTTCTTCTCAACTAACCATGAATGTTGAATTAATTTTAACCCAACTTATTTCCAAGGTTAAAAGAAATATGACCTAAATCCATTAAAATACAAACAAAAAACTACTTACTTGTCGAGCTTCTCCTGTAATACAGCCAAAAACTCATAGCAATTCACAATGTTATCTGGCAGCCCAATGTTAAAAGCATGCTCTCTTGCCATATGATTGAGAAGGACAGATCTACAAAAGACCCAAAAAGAATGTTACACATCTTTGAATAGATATAAGAATTATTCAATTAGTGACTCGAAATATACCAATTGCTCTAAAAATGCATAAAACCCAACATTAAATAAACAATAATAGTGTTTCTGCCACTGTAGAAAAAAAGAATGTGATTTTATTTAAATAGGAAGTTTTCAATTTCAGCACTGCTGAACATTCAGTAACATTTCAACTACTTAATCCGCATGCATGAAATATAATCCTTTAAACAAAAATTACAATAGTTTATTTTGACCCTCACTGTTAACAAGGCTCATTTAATAACTTGGATAAGCAAATCACATGTTTCAAACAACCATCTTGGGAAACATTCTCAAAAGTCATTTGTCAGTTTTTCTATGCTGATTAACAAAGCAGAAATTCTTGGGTGTGATATGCTTTCACATCAATATTGCTTCACACCACTAGCAACATAAACAGCACTCAGGAATATGCATGAACAAACCTAATGGATATTTAAGTAAGTAATTTTTCTAACAGAGGTATACTGGTTAATTCCTTAGGTGCCTAACATCTCTATATGCCTCAACTGCATTTGGGGAATAAAGAAACATCCAAATGTTAACACTGCTGACCCTTGCTTTTATCACAGTCCAGGCACGATTTCAAATCACATGTTCTGTGAGACCCCAGAGTAAGTAGAAGATGAAGTTCTTGGGGGCTAAATTAAGTGAACTTCATTACATCGGGCAGTATAGAGAACAAGACACTCACACAACATTGGGATGACCTGCAGGGACATGACCCCAGGTTCTTCAACCTTTCCAGAGTAGCAGAACTACCCATGCAAACAGACATTCAGGGATAAGTCTCTCCAAACGTACTGTGTAAAACCACATTTTCACTGGAGCAAGCACTTGAACGCAACTCCCACTCCCACTTGACCGCAAAGCACTCCGTTCTCACTCTAATTTTCCTCTCCTTGTTTTCATTCAGTCTTCAAATTGACATTGGTTTGGTGAGGTTTAAACAGGAAAATGTGTAACTGGATAGAAATATTTTTTTAACAGCCATATTGGCTTAAACAGCTCTCTTTGCCACTAAAACAACTGCCGAAAAACTGTCTTCTCTTTAAAATGGTTCAGTTCCCAACTCCGGCTTGCTGTGCAGTATAAAAAGTTGTACTGGAATAAATAAAAGATTAAGAAGTGGGAAGGAGTCTATTTAAAATGACACTGCAGGTGAAAGAAACGCTTAAACTACACATTAAAATGAATTTTATTTTCTGAGTCCTACCATTAGGCACTAACTGGTTCAATGACATTAAAACCATACAAAGACACTGAGCAGATACGAAAAAATATAACAAAAGCACACAAGTCAATAAACAAACCTGTTTCCTGTGAATTCTTGATCACAGAACATACACATACTATGAAAACTTGTGTCGTATCTCTCTTGCTGTTGCTGTTCTAGAATTTCTCTCTATGAAAAGAAACAGATACAGTTATTCAGATAAAAAATAACAGTCATTTCATCACATAAGCTTATTATACCTCTTCATGCTTACTGGCAACAATCGACATACAAAATTAAAACATGCCGCTGACACAAACCAGACATTAGTATGTTTTGAGGGTGGATTCTCACAAAAATTAGAAGTTTTTTCAAAGGCAGTATGTGCTCCAGTCAAATTCCATTAAAATTCTCCTAGCATTATACATGGTGTATGGAAAGAAATACAATCCACAGTGAGATTTTACACAGCTATTTAAAGGATTCTGTATATAACATATCATTTATTGTTTCTACTTAGGTTCACATTTACTTCTGGTATCAGTGAGCAGGTTTGTGGGTAACCACATAACAGCCCATGGAACGATAAACTCAATTTTACGTGTTTAATCACAAGCAATCTAGAAGACTTTTTCATAATACGGGACTGATGAAAAGAACCCTGGCAGTTTCTGCAAGGAGCTATGGCACATAGTAAACCCATGGAAAAGGAGAAGTTGATTGCCTTTAACACTGGTCCTGTTAACACTGGTCCAGTTTAATTTAGAGCAATAGACTAGGCTAGACACTTAACAACACTTGACCCCAATTTTCCTAACAACTACAAAATCGTGCAGCAGGTGACTGCTTCTGATGCTGTAACAGTAGCAGTGTATTTATACTGTAGAGTTACGCTGTGGAGTTACTATACACTTCAGATGGAAACGCCATAATCATCTGGGACACGGGAGAACTGGTGTTTGGATTAAAACTTAGCATATTTTCAGCCTGGCAGTACACTGCCCTGTTTTAAGTACTGATAACTGGTAAAGGATTTATTTTCTGTGCAATGCAGAGATGCTGCTGTCTGCTTTCCGACATTCGGGATCCTGACTGAATTTCTTAGGGGATTTTCTCAATCTCTTTATCTCCTTAGAGCCTGCAACAGTGGAGCTTTGTGTTTCTCACCTACCTCTTTAGTGACTCTTCTGTGTGGATTGAGGCTTGAATTTGCCCATAGTCTACATCTAAATTTACACTCAGCTACGCCTGTTAGGCAAGTTCCACAGAAGGCAGAAAAGAAAGAAAAAGAAAAGAAAAAAGAAAGGAAAGAAACCAAAACCTTCTAGGGCCCATATTCCACCGCACAATCTGAGAGCTGTAGCTGCTGCACATCGGCTAAGAGTTGGTTACCCTAAAAACACAGATCCTGGGGCTTCATTTTTTTTGTTTATGTACTACAAGGTGTACATTTTGCGTTGGATTCATGCTCAGCAGTGCCTACTCAAATTCCAGGCCGCCTCTGCTCACGTCCTGCTGTGTTATATGAAACGTCAGCTAACAGAAATATAAATTCCTGTTTTTCAGGGCTGACTCCCGAAAGAGACAAATGGAGCGTAACGCATCTTTTGAGAGCCCTTCAGCAGAGATGCAATTAAGTACCAGTATCTGTCTGCTCCACACGGGCAGTGAACATCCCACGGCACGTCAGTAAGAACTGGGGCTTTCTCTGCTCCTCGTAGCTGTCACCCCTCTCTGCTCAGCAGCACGTCTGGTGCGGTTTGGCTAACCTTGAATTTGAAGGTGTCTGCGCAGAGTTTACATACTTTGAATAAACACACTAGAAACAAGCTAAAAGGAAATTAAAAGATACCATGTACAACTGAAACATTAAGATAGCAAAGTAAACACCCTCACCCTCCCATTAATGATATTCCAATGTAGCTTCCTAATTGTACTCTACTAGGAGGGAAAAAAAAACACATTCTGCAGTATTTGGCTGCCTGACTCCAGATTCCCACCTCACACAAATTGCTTATTGGAGCCCTGGAGAGTTGCTGCTCCCAGTTATGCCTGAGGAGGAAGGAGAAGTGTACCGCATTCTCCAGACAAATGGTGGTTCTCCTACTCTGCTCTCTCACCCTTCCCATTTGCCCCTACACCAGCACTAACCCAGCATTGTTGCTTTATCAATTTACTCAAGAGAGTTTAAAAAAATATTTTAAAGGTAGTGTTCCAGTTTTAGCTGGGACAGTGTTAGCTCTTCTTTTTTTAACAGCTAGAAGAGCTCCGTGTTTTGGTTTTACTCAGAGGCTCGCTCTGAGAAGAATGCTGATAGCAAGTTGATGTTTGTGGTTGGACGTGAGACTCCAAGGACTTTTCAGTGTGCCGAAGTGCAGAAGCACAGCGGGATAAGGGGGAGCATAGCTGGGACAAGGGGGACACGATTCCCCTTGTGATTTGTGGTGAACTTAAGATTGAGGGCCAAACTGGCCAATTAGTATTCCATATCATGCAGCGTCATGCCCTGTATAAAAGTGAGGGTCAGCCGGACAGAAGGGCTTTTGCGCTTTGGCTTTTGCGCTTTGGCTTTTGCCGCTTTTGCTCTTTTGCGCTTGCTGTGTTTTTCGCTCTATTGCTTTTCTTTCTTTTTTTTCTTTCCTCTCTCTCTCCCAGTACTCCCACTCTCAGAGTACTATCTCTCCCTCTCTGCCCCTCTCTATTTCGGGGCCTCGCGTTCGTCCGGGATTGCAGTTTCGGGACGAGACGGGCTTCGCATATGAGGGGGTGGTGAGCACCTACATTGTATTAAATCACTCTTATCTCAACCCACGGGTTTCACGTTTATCCTTTAATTCTCTCCCTCATTCCTGGGGGTGGGGGAGGGGGAGTGACCAGCTGTGTGTGTGGGGGGGCGGTTCAACCTAACCCACGACAGGTAGACACTCCTTTTATCAAATGTGGCATCATTCATTGCTAGAGCGAACCTTCCAAGCCAGAAAGAAAATCTGGTACTTGCACGGGTGAGGAATTAGAGGCACTGGTGCAAGTCAAGTGCAGCGAAAGCAAGAGGTCTACTCTTCTTCCCTACAGACATTTCCAACCTCCATTTCATTGTTAGGACTCTGACGGGAGAACGGCAATTACAATAACTTGCATAAAACTTTTTTGAGATTTTCCTGAGTGGAGACTTTCAGCTAGTAATGAAAGTCAAACTTAAACTGAAGCTATGAGGCAGGCAATGAGTAACTTACTTTAATACCTGCACCAGTTTCCCAATCGTTTGAATTTGTGGGGCTGTTGGCATTAATTCATGGTTGATACTAAGACAAAAACACCAAAAACATTTCAGACATGAAGATTTTCCAAAAGTTTTTTAGAATACTGTGTCATATTAAAGTACCAGAGAATGAGAGGGCAAAGTCACTTGAGGAAAAAGTACATATATTATTTTTCTGTTTTCATAATGAATAAAAGAATTAAGCATAGGCAGCAAAGGCTATTCAAAACACTAAAAAAGTGTTTATACCAGGATGATCATCTTTAAATATACAAGTACACTAAACAGTGAATATAAAGAATTTTGATAATTTGTGTGACAATTTGTAACTTGGAACCTATAAAAATGCCCCACACATTCATGATGCTCAGTTTGATGTTGTGAGGAGTTCAGAGTTTCTCCTAGGAGGCGGTAAGCAAGTAAACACTTCTCCCTAAACAACTACTTTGTGGTCTATAGCTCAAGAGACATTCAAGACATACAAAATGCCTTCAAAAGGCAAGACTAAAAACTAACTCCATCAAATACCAAAAGCTATGGACTCAGGACAGTTGGTTTTATGGTATATTAGACTTTTCTGATTGTAATTTCTGCTACCCTTCCCTCTAGCAGACACTGTATCCCAGGTGCTAAGTTATCTCTCTTTATTGCTGTCAGACCACTGCTTTTGTTTTTTTTTTTTTTAAACCATAAACTCCTTAATTAACAAGGCCCTCATAAATTATTTACGTAGCTATTTGAATGCCCAGCTTAGATCACTGACATAATCAACCATTCACAACAGTACTCAGCACAAGTTTTGCTGCTTTTGATTCCAACCTAAAGAAAAAATTGGTGGTCAAAATTTTGCCTTTTTTTCAACTACATCAGTTGGTCTGACAAAAAAGCCCAACAGACTTCTTTCTCCAAACCCTGTTTCTTTTATAACCACAGCACCTCTGACAGATAAGAAATTAAGGCAGAAAGTACTTTTCTGGCTCTAAGATGGAGGTAGATTGCACTATGCAGTTTGGGACAAGATCATGCAGTGAATTTGTGACTGCAGTGAGACCTGAACTTATCATTCCCCAGTCCAGGAACCTGCTTGTGCAGTGGAGGATGGATTCTGCAGTCCAGTCTGTAAAACAGAGCTAACAGCAGTATGTATCTGCTTTTTAAGATGTTCAGGACCAATAAAAAAATAAAATTACTGCCATAAGATCTGACAAGGCAAAGTCTGAAGTCTTTATTCCAAAGAGGCAAGCATACAAGTAGTCTCGACTTTAACTATTGTGTTTCAGTACCAGCTGGATTGGAGCATGAGTATTTCATAGTTTGGGGTTCTTGTTGGCATCTGCCTTGCCAGTTCTTGTCCTTTGTCCTCATCCTCACTAGGCAAGACACTAGAAAGACAGTATGTTATACAAATGATCATTTAAGAGAAGCTCCAATGAAAGCTTTTTATAAATAGTGCTATACCCTTCCAGGGAGGTAGTTTGCCTAAAGATGTTCCTTTGAAGAGGAAACATCACAAACATCACTGCATGAAGTACCCAAACATCTGAGCACTCAGTCACACTGTTGTGAAGAGTGCATTATCACAGGCCACATTCCTTCTGCTGTGACAACAGACTCATTAATACTACTGAAATCAGAGTGTCTGCTTGGGAAATAAGGTTACTACCAGAGATAGCAATGTGGATAGCGATGTGGGTGTGAATTTGGATCTAAGTAATACAAGATAGAGACTTCACAACAAGAATATGTATTTTATCAAGCTCTCCTAGGTGATCTCTCAAACACAGTGTGTATCTTTAGTTGTAGTTTCTTCCAATTTAAATAAGAGTTACATTTCCCTGCTGAGTGCTCACAGAAGCTACTGATTGCTGTAGGCAAAGGAAGCAAGTGAAACAGACTCTGGTTTAAAAACAAAACAACTAAAAAAATCATG